ATGGGGGCAGATCACAGGATCTAAGCAGTTTGAAGGATTAAAGGAGCTACAAAAGAGGATGCCAGAGGAAACACCCAGGAACTGGCGTATGGCACGGAATGATCCCTCGTCCACAGTAGAGGGAGGCCATGGTTCCAGAGAAGGTTTTAGAGAAGGTATCAGTTTTGAGGGTCATGGGTCATGAATGTAAATGTGAATGGAGAATAAATTGCAGATGTATCTAAATTGGAGGAAAACAACCACATCAGAAAAAAGGGAAACAAAATATCAATGAGGCAAACAAAACAGACAAACCTTAATATGCTGACGGACAGACCTCTCTTTAATCTTATCCTTTTACGGTTTGCTATGGAGAACAACTTGTGACTTGTTCAACTAAATATGAATGAATATTCCAAATTACAGACTGTGTATATCTGATCAATAATGAATCTTCACGTAGACTCAACTAGCACATGAAGTTCAAAAGCTAAATAAACAGGGCAGTCACAAAGTTCTATATAGCATTTAGTTTAGAACTATAAAAAAGCCTACACAACCAGTTGCTGATGTCTGATCGTATGTTCTGTGAAGTGTTATAGGTCACCCACCTGAGTGTCCACGGCCTGAGTCTCAGATGAGTGGTATTTTTTGTTCATCTTAAAAGATATTGTTAGTTTGTGTCAGGGTCACTTGGATCCACTTCCAGCTCTTCATTCTCTTATGTGGATTCTTATCTCCACCTGGCCTGTCTTCCCTTCACATTTCTTGTTGGGTAGGTCTAAGGGGGCAGAGTTCTTTCAGGTTTTCTGTATGACTGGAAGTCTTCCCATTACCTTCATTTTTGAAGGATATTTTCTCTGGCTATAGAATTCAAGGTCTGTGACGTTTTTCTTTGGGCACTTTAAAGATGCTGGTTGACTATCTTCTTGAGCGCACTGTTTCCAACAAAAGGTCTGCTGTCATCCTCAACTTTGTGCCTCTGTAGATAATCTGCCTTTTTTCCTTCTTGCTTCATTTAGTATTTTCTCTTTATTATCGGTTTTGAGCAATACGATTATCATGTGCCTTAATGTAGTTTTCTTCATGTTTCTCCTACTCAGGGTTTGCTGAGCTTTCAGATATATGGGTTCATGGTTTTCATTAAATTTGAAAAAGCTGAGTGCGGTGGCTCACGCCTGTAATCCCAACACTTCGGGAAGCCGAGGCAGGTGGATCACTTGAGGCCAGGAGTTCAAGACCAGCCTGGCCAACATGGTGAAAGCCCATCTCTACTAAAAATACAAAAATTAGCCAGGCTTGGTGGTACACGCCCGTAATCTCAGCTACTCAGGAGGCTGAGGCACGAGAATCGCTTGAACCCAGGAGGTGGAGTATGCAGTGAGCTGAGATTACACCACTGCACTCCAGCCTGGGTGACACAGCAAGATCCTGTCTCAAAAATAATAATAATAGATAAATTTGAAAACATTTGATCATGATTTCTGTATGTTTTTCGTCCCTCCTCTCTTCTGGAAACTCCAATTATATCGATATTAGGCCATCTGAAGTTGTCCCGCAGCTCACTGATTCTCTATTCATTCCTATGTCTTCACGTTCACTCATCTTTTCTTCTACAGTGTCTGTCACCAATTTCATCTAGTATATTTCATCTGAGATATTATAGATTTCATTTCCTAAAGTTTCATTTTGTAAAGATCTTTTACAAAATCTTCCATGTCTTGATTTAACTTTTGTACATATAAAATACAGTTCTAACAACTATTTTAATGCCATTGCTAATTCTAAGGTCTGTATCAGTTCTGAGTCAGTGGTTTTGATGGCTTTATTTCTTTCCTCATTATGGGCCATATTTATATGTATTCATTTATTCACAGTATTCATTTATTGGATGGCAGATATTGTGAATTTTACCTTGTTGGATGCCAGATATTTTTATATTCCTATAAATACTGTTGAGTTTTGTTCTAGGATACAATGACTCAGAAATGGTGTGATCCATTTGGGGCTTGCTTTTAGGGTGAGACCAGAGCCATGTTAAGTCTAGGGCTAATTATTCCCCACCACTGAGGCAAAATCCTCCTGAGTCTTTCAACCAAAGCCTATGAATTATGGGGTTTTCAATTCTCACAGCTGGTGTGAACAGATCCTACTCCCAGCCTTGTGTGAGCACCAAACACTGTTTCCTCAATCATTTCAGGTGTTCTTTCCCCAGGCTTGATAGCTTCCTCACAACTCCTCGAACTGAGACAGCCTGCTGGCTACACCTGGGCTCCCCTTGTGATGCCCAACCCGAAACTCTGTTCAGGGAGAAGGTGGGCAATCACAAGGCTCAACTCACTTGGTTCCTGTTTCTCACAGATCAGTATCCTTCACAGCCTGATACCCTGATTGGCAGCTGTTAGTATACAAGTAGGGTTTACTGATTACAAGCTTCACTGTAATATAATCTGCCTGGACCATTTCACTGGGCCCTAACAGTAGTATTTTTAGGTTTCATCTCTTGGGCTGAACAGATTTCCCTAAGAAGAAACATCCTATCTATTGCTTAGAGAGCACACACCTGACTGATAGGCTTCTTTACTCTGTGGCTGAAGGCACTGCAGGCAGTCTGAAGACACACCACAATGAAAAGTGTAGGTAGCTCTGCGGTAACGCAGCATGAAAAAAAAAAAAAAGAAAAGTACAGGTAGCTCATATTACAAAGGGCTGATTTCTGAAATATAAAGAGCTTCTATAAATCAAAGAGAAAAAAAACTATGCAATTCAAGAGAAAAACAGGCCTCCCAAAATGAACACATGATTTAAATAAAAATGTAGATGGCTCTTTTCTTAAAAGAAAATTAAAAGCATACTCAACAATATTTTACTATATACATTATAGGCCAGGGGCGGTGGCTCAGACTGTAATTTGGCAGGGTGAGGCGGGTGGATCACTTGAGGTCAGGAGTTCAAGACCAGCCTGGTCAACATGGTGAAACCCCCGCCTTTACTAAAAATACAAAAATTAGCCAGGTGTGGTAGTGCATACCTATAATCCCAGTTACTTGCCAGGCTGAGGCATGAGTATCGCTCGAACCTGGGAGGCAGAGATTGCAGTGAACCGAGATTACTGCAATCCAGCCTTGGAGACAGAGTGAGACTCTGTCTCTAAATAAATAAATAAATAAAAATAATTTATATATTACGGTGCCCTTGTGTAATAAAGAAACCAATGTATAAAAAAAGTATTTTAATATGAAAAATATAAATTCAAATCACCTTGATATATTATCACCCGTCTTACTGGCAAAGATTCAGTTATTTGACAAAAGCTGATTTCTGAAATATAAACAGCTTTTATAAATCAAAGAGAAAAAAATCTATGCAATTCAATGGAAAAACAGGCCCCCCAAAATGAACACATGATTTAAATAAAAATATAGATGGCTCTTTTCTTAAAAGAAAAATAAAATAAAATAAAAACATAATCTGACAAAGCTTAAAATAACTGATTGAGCATACTTGCTTGCTTTTACTAGTCCACTAAAACAGTAATGAAGAGTTTTAAACTTCTTTGTCTAACAGCCAAGGAGAAAAGGAGATAAAATAACAGTAAACACTGTTGGAATTCATGAAGCAGATGAATGAGTAGTGACTTTGCAGACCCAAAAAGTCTGATTCTTAGGCTAGAAATTGAGAAAACCAAGAAGCAACCAGTTTATACTATGGAGCTCCCCCAAGAACTTCGGAACCGGCCATTGTAGTTATCCCTGGAAGTAAAGTTGACCAAGATGACTGCTTGAAAGTCAATTTTCAGAAAGTCAGACACTGGATTATCTAATACTGTGTTAACAAATCACTCCCAAACTGAGTGGCTTAAAACAGCAATTGTTATCTCACTGTTTCTGTGGATCATGAACTCAGAAGTGACTTGACTGGGTAGCTCAGGGTCAGACATCAGCTGAGACTGCACTCATCTGAAAGCTTGACAGGAGCTTGCAGTCACTTCGAAGGCGGCTCACTCCCAAGGCTTACAGGTTGCAGGCTGGGTATTGGCAGGAGGCCTCAGCTCCTCCCTGTGTAGGCCTCTCTCAGAGCTGAGTGTCCACACAGAATGATGCCTGGCTTCCCCCAGAGTGAGTGATCCCAGAGACCATGGTGAAAGCTGCAAAGCTGTTTATAATGTAGACTTGGAAATCACTTTTGCCATATCCTATTGGTCACACAGATCAGCCCTGATGTGTTGCAGGAGGGGATTGGCCCCAAGGTGAGGAACCCCAGGCAGTGAAAATCACTGGGGGCCATTTGGGATGATGGCTACCTCAGATGTGGAGCTCTCCTCTCCACCCCATCTCCTACTCTGAATAATCATGTGACTTTCCCATCACCTTCCTAACAGAAGATTCCAAGTCTATTATCTGGAAAGACCCAAAATACAGTTTCTCAACTGTGGTACCCCATTGTTGAGGGTGAGGAATTATAATAAAAACAAGGAGGTATGCAAACGTCTTTTTCTCAGTAATCTGAAGTGTTTCCTTTATCATATGCTAAACTGCTTTATGTACTTGGGTTTATTTATGGGTTTACTAACTTGTTTCATTAATCTATCTAGGTCGGTATGATGTTTTATTATTAAAGTTTATATCCATCAGGGACTATCTCTTATTACTCTTCTTTTTTGGCAACTGTATTCTGAAATCGTGGCTACATGCAAACAATTCTGAAGCTCCAAATTTCTAAAGAATTATAACACAGTGGGTTTCTTGGGAGAGACTGAAAATATTCAGATACCAGAAAGCTCACTATTCCATTAATAAGAAAATCATAAGTATTCATGAACATATAAGAAGTATGAAATTGTGCCCAATTAATTAATTGGTAGTAAGGTCCTTTTCCCTTAAGAGAACTATAGTCTAGTTACATAAAGGAGATATACAACCAGAGAACACAAGTTAATGGTTTCTGCAATGGCTTTACAAACAGCGGTAGACATCTAATATTTGACAAAATATTTTGCTTCAAAATAAATATCTTCTTACTTGTAACAAAAGCAGCTGGAGAAGATGATCATAGCAATTATGCAGACAGCCATAGAAATGAGCAAAACCAGCCATCGAATGCTGCCATCAAAAAATGGACCTGACAATAAAAGTAAACAATGAAATAAACAATGAAATGAAAAAATAATCTGAAGTGTTCAATTCTAGGTAGCTTGGTAAAACCAGAGAAGATATTTGAGAAGCATGCTCCGACTTTTCTCGGCTAACCTACCTATGACAACAGGGGGCAGTGTGGGTTGCAAATACTGGTTACATAAATTGGTCCGACAACATTCTATTGTCCGGCGTAGCTGAGCTTTTGGAGAATCCTAAAAGAAGAGTAATGATTAAAATTAGAAATTGTTTGGTATTTTAAACTGATGATACGTCATTTTAGTATTCATAAAATACAATTTCTGATTCAGTGAGTGAAAGGGGCCTGCAAATTTTATATGTAAAAACGGATTACTGAAAGACTAAAATTTGTGCTGAAATAGTGAAGACTGCAAAATGGCTTTTCTTAAGAACATATCTATGTGGATGGTGTGTTAGACACTAGATTAGAATACCAAACCCGAACTTAGGTAATTAAAATTATAAACTGGTCTGGTACATATAATCTCACTGTGGTACTGAGATGTGGATGAGATTTAAGATCAGACTAAAAAGTGGGGGGTGTCTTAGTCCAAAGAAAAGGCTGGTTAGCAAGGCAGCTGAGCGTGCAGAGGCCGCTGCAGACCCTGCCTACCCCAGCCATGTCGAAAGTCATGAGCCTGATGCGGAGGCAAGTTGAGCATCTGTGGTGAGGGAAGGGCAAACTATAGAAAGCATTCCTGAGAGATGATTACAGATCACCAGCCAGAGAGGAGACTGTCCCTAAGAGAGCAGAAAGTTAGCACAGAGAAGGGCAGCAGCACTTACATATGATGTTTTATTGTATTAACAATATAATATCTGACAAGTTGAATGCTGCCATTTCAGCACAGCCTGGGGAGAACTGCCATTCTGGACCAACATGTGAATAGCAAAGAACTGTTTGTCACTACGGAAGTCACAAGAATGTAAGCAGAAATTAAGGAAAAGCCTCAGTATAATCAGCTATGACTTTAAAAAGGTAAACATGAGCCCATGACTTCAGATTCTGTTGGGAAGATGGTCAAGAGCATTTGGAAATCTCCAAATACATATTTTATATTTTAAATGAAGTTTTATTCATAACTTTTACACAATTTTTACTTTTAAATGACCATAAGGAGAGAGAGAAAAAAGTTAGGCTTAAACTGGAGAGTCTGAAATAATCCCAGATTCAGAGAAAACTTACATGAAGGAGGAAATGAAAATCATATAACTAACTATGAATGAAAGAAGTGCCAAGCATCCAAGAGGGTTCCAGGAAAGCTAAAATGAGCTTGGCCTTGCAGAAGAGAAAAGTGCAAAAGAAAGAGTTTCTCTGGCAGCATGGGGTTTCTCCAAGCAACAGATGTACTGCTGACATGACAGTGGATGATGAGGACAAAAATGAACAATTCTTCAAGTCCTGTCTTGTTTCTTCTTCTCTATGAAGGATGCTGACAGGGATGACGAAGGTAGCTCAAACACTACTAAGTGGGAAATGACATCCCAAATGTATGAAGAGATCTTACGATGCTTTTGTATTCTACATGAGTTCCTATCTTCTAAGCTAGGTGAATTATATCCCAGGAAGATGACAGCCCTTGTAAGAGAGATGGCTGAAAGACAGATGAAATTTAAAGACTTTAGAAAGATGGAGCGTTGGAAACTATGATAGATAACTGAATGTTATATTTTTATATAAAAAAATATATATGTTTACATGTATATGTTATATATGTCCCTTTTCTTTAAAAGGGAAAGAAAGTAGACTTTAAGCTGTGTGTGGTGGTGTGTGCCTACAATCCCAGCTACTTGGGAGGCTGAGGCATGAGGCTCACTTGAAGCTACGACTTCAAGTCCAGCCTGGGCAATGTAGTGAGACTCTATCTCTAAAAATAATAATTTTTAAAAAGAAGCCAAAAATAGACTCTGCCAACAGATTAAGGCAGCATAGTATTACAGAAAATACAAGGGTTTTGGAATCAAACAGTTTGAATCCTAGCTTTCCCAGTTGTTCACTTTATGACCTTGAGCAAGTAATTTATCTCTGGGCTTTAGTGTGCTAAAAAATACAGGATAAAAAAAATATCAGCTGGGCACAGTGGCTCACACCTGTAATCCTAGCACTTTGGGAAGCTGAAGCAGCAGAATGGCTTGAGCAGAGGAGTTTGAGACCAGGCTGGGCAACATAGTGAGACCCCATCTCTAAAAAAAACTTTTAAATCAGCCAGGTGTGGTGGTGCACGCCTGTGGTCCCAGCTACTCATAAGACTGAGGTGGGAGGATCACTTGAGCCCAGGAGGTTGAGGCTGCAGTGAGTTGTGATTGCGCCACTGCACTCCAGCCTGGGCGATGGAGCAATAGCCTGTCTTTAAAACAAAAAAAAATCTGCTCTATTGAGTAGTTGGAGGGAATCAAGGTAGAATATACTGACTCCCCAGGTTACTATACACATATAGCAAATATTCAATAAATTAATTTCCCTTCCTCTGTGCCTGACATGAATCCCAGATGAGATTCTAGACTAAGCCAAAAAACTTATAAGCCCCTAAAGACCCAACATGGCTTCACTAAGAGTAAGCAACACCTGACTCATCTCATGTCTGTCTTACTCAGGTTAACGATGGATCTCGGTAGGCAAAAACTGGGTTTCTCGAGGTTACGAATTTGGGTGACACAGCCTTTCCTTTCCCTGCACTCTCCACCCCTACCCTCTGCCAGTCAATTTGTATTTCTAGATTTATGTGGGGAATACGAATTTTTGTGGGAAACAAATTTACTCGGCACTTATGAAGTAAGAGATTCTGACTTAAATAAACTTATTCAGTGTGCTCAAACTGGAGACAGTGTATGAGGAAGGAACTGAAGCCAAGTTACAAGGAATGGCAGCGAGGTTTCTGAAAAACAATTTGTCCTACAGGAGGAAACAGAATAAGCACAATTTACCAGTGCGGCCTGGGGAGTGGAAGAACGTGAGGCCTGGTGAGAGACACTCACATCTGTTCTGCGCCACACCTGGCAGTGTGTGAAGACACTGGGGAAAGGGTTAGGATGAGCATGAGAGAGCTGTGCTTGGGTGAGGTGCTGTGCTTGGGTGACATTTACCAAGAAATACAGAAAGTTAGATAAGTGCTGGTCAAAATTTTTGCTGGCATAACCCAATTCTTAAAAGCAAGGTATCCTTCACATATTTTTCAGGTGACACTTAAAAATTTTCACCCAAAATTTAAATGGCTGCAATATATTAACAATTTCTGGCTTACTGTACATAATGACACTTTGAAATAGAATTGTTACCTCATTTTGAAATAGAAGTGTTACATCATTTTTAATGCATTCAGTAGAATCTAAATAGCATGCAATTTGATACCTATTATCATCATTTTAAAGAATAAATGAACAAATGCTTCATTTAGCAATGAGAAATTTTACACTACAACTCTTACTTCTCCTTGAACTCTTATTTCCTTTCAGTATCTCCCACAATAATTATGTCCTAAAGTAATATATAACTGTCCACATCAAAGATAAGTATATAAAAATTCTTTTATTTCCTATAACTGTATGTCTTTAAGTCTTAGAAAATTATTCTAGTTTATCATAATCATTAGCATAAAATTGATCAAAAATATATATTACAATCTTTATTAAATACAAACTTAAGAAAATGTTACTGGAAAAGGCATTTTTTCTTTTTCTTTTTATGATACAAGATCTGGCTGGCTATCACTCTGCACACTAGAGTGGAGTTGCATGATCTCAGCTCACTACAACCTCTGCCTCCCGAGCTCACGTCATTCCTCCCACCTCAGCCTTTTTTTTTTTTTTTTTTTTTTTTGAGACGGAGTCTCACTCTGTCACCCAGGCTAGAGTGCAGTGGTGCTATCTCGGCTCACTGCAACCTCCACCTCCCAGGTTCAAACGATTCTCCTGCCTCAGCCTCCCAAGTAGCTGGGATTACAGGAGTGTGCCACCACGCCTGGCTAATTTTTGTATTTTTAGTAGAGACAGGGTTTCCACATTGGCCAGGCTATTCTGAAACTCCTGACCTCAGGTGATCCGCCTGCCTCAGCCTCCCAAAGTGCAAGAATTACAGGCGTGAGCCACCAGGCCCAGCTAATTTTTATAGAGATGTGGTTCTGCCATGTTGCCCACGCTGGTCTCAAACTTGTGAGCTCAAGCGATCTGCCCACCTCGGCCTCCCAAAGTGTTGGGACTACAGGCATGAACCACTGCGCCTGGCCAGGCATTTCTTAATCATATGGATGGGTCTTTTAAAAAAAATCAGTTCATGAATTCATGAATAAATATTACTTACTGCTAGAGTGAGAAGATTCATCATTAATTTTATTCTTATTTTTCCATTTGTCATCAAGACAATTTATTCACATAAGCAAGATAATAATGGAAGGAAATTATTATACCATTGTCCCATAATTTTCTTTTGAGATGGAGTTTCACTCTTGTTGCCCAGGTTGGAGTGTAACGGCACGACTTCAGCTCACTGCAACCTCCACCTCCCGTGTTTAAGCAATTCTCCTGTCTCAGTCTCCCAAGTAGCTGGGATTAAAGGCACGCGCCACCACGCCCAGCTACATTTTGTATTTTCAGTAGAGACAGGTGTCACCATGTTGATGAGGCTGGTCTCTAAGTCCTGACCTCAGTTGATCCACCTGCCTCGGCCTCCCGAAGTGCTGGGATTACAGGCTTAGGCCACCGCACTACCTCAATCAGCCCATAATTGTTTAAAGTCCTTCCAAAGCATATGCTAAAAGTGCCATAAAGATCCTATCAACAAAAATTATTTTCAATGATCCAGCAACTTGGTTGAAAGCAAACAATTGAAAACCATCTGTCATGTAAATACTTACTTGATATTCCCACATAGCCTACACTGATACCTTTACTTCGAATTATAACACCGTTTGGAAACCTCAAGTTTTACACCTCAGGCCTTCTATTTGTAAACTAGGAGGGGTTGACTATGAAAAGTGACTAAGGGAAAGAGAACTGCTTGAGAAGTTCTGTTCTCAGGCAGAGAAATATTCAGCAACAGGACCTACGGAAGTTGAGGATCCAAAAACTGATTCTCTTAAAACCATCAACGTGCCCGTTACCCTTGTATAACACAGTCTGAGTTACACTGTGTTTAACAGAGCATGAAGACTGCTCTGTTAAAGAATCAATATGGTCAAAGCTAACATCTATTAAGCCCTTACTATGTGCCAATTGTGCTAAACTATTCACATACATATAATTGGACCCTTATAGTAATTCCTTCATTTCTTTGGGAGAAAACAAGAAAGCAGAGCACCTTGTCCAAAGGTTCACAGCAGTATATAGATTTGAACAGCTTGTCAAGTTTAACTAACTTATAATGGTGAATTCAGTTTAGGACAGGCCTACTCTAGGGGCCTGCTGAACACTGGTTATTACTGCTGGGCTCAGTACCCTAACCATAGCTCTTTCTTCAATTTTTTAAGTGATTAAAAAATGTATAGTATGTGTGGTTGACAAATATGCAAACAGCCTAAAACTGGAAGAAACAACTAAATTAGCATCCTTTAAATCCTGACTAATTAGAGCAAAGGATTAATGCTTGTAAGATAAAATTCATATAGACAAGTATGTAACAACTGTATAGGAAAATCTCATTCCATTCCCATCTAGTTATTTGTGTGAAGAAACCAACAGCACCAAAGAAGAGTGGAGGAGATGTGGCTCAGCAGCAGCATGAGTGAGTGACATGGGGATTTCAGCTTACAGAAGGCTCAGTGGTTCAGGAATATGGCGTGACTGCCAAACATCTAACACGAGACTGTGTTTAGAAAAAGGGAACAGGACTATTTACTCTCTACTTTTTTCCTTGGTCATACCACACTCAATTCTGCGTATTACACTGAGGAAGTGGAGACTGAATAACTCTAAAGTTGATCATATAAGGAGCAGCTGAGGTCACTACGAACTATTACTTTCACTGGGTAAAGACTAGCAGGATGAAGCACTTTTTTTTTAGTTAGTAAAAGGCTATCATCTTAAAAAGAGATTAGGTTTGTTCTCTATGGTCCGAAGAGTCAGACAGGAAGACAGATTTGCAGTCATTTACAAAGAGGGTGATTCCAAACATTAGCTGAGAGGTTGAAACACATAACCTTTAAGGTTTCTATCCATCCTGAGAATTTCTTTTCCTTTTTTTTCTTTTTTTGAGACGGAGTCTCACTCTGTCGCCCAGGCTGGAGTGCAGTGGCGTGATCTCGGCTCACTGCAAGCTCCACCTCCCAGGTTCACGCCATTGTCCTCCTGCCTCAGCCTCCCGAATAGCGGGGACTACAGGCGCCCACCACCACACCCAGCTAGTTTTTTGTATTTTTAGTAGAGACGGGGTTTCACCGTGTTAGCCACGATGGTCTCCATCTCCTGACCTCGTGATTCGCCCGCCTCGGCCTCCCAAAGTGCTGGGATTACAGGCGTGAGCCACAGCACCCAGCCCCCATCCTGAGAATTTCCAAATAATAGGAACAATTTCCTAACATAGCTGAGACTTAAATTATGCACAAACAATTCTATCTGGAGCTGGTTTTCAGAAACACTGGAAGGATCTCCTGGGACAAAATTACTATACAGAATTTGAAGAGATCAGGTTTACAACCTAGAGCCATCAGGATGCTCATGAACTATTACCACCCTGATTCCTTCGTTGCTGCTTTGTTAAAGCAGCTCCACTGACACCTCCTTACAAGGCCTTAACATTTTTTTTTCAACTTTAGAGGTTGCCCTAGAGTTTGCAGTATATCTTTAACATTTCTAAGTTACCTCAGAGTGATACAAAGGTTATTGCCACTATAAAACTTATTGAAAAGACTTTTAAGATAATCTACAAATAAGTGTGACAATATAATTTTTTTGCAGTCATGACAACCTAGGATGATTTAAAACATTTTACTTTTTTAAAGTAAAATAATCTGGAACTTAAATTACCATAATCATATTACTTGAATAAAATTTTTATTTTTAAAGAAATGTTAGCTGCAATTATTGTGATAAGAAAGTTTAGAAACTTGTCTTCACTGAAAATTGTAATCAGTAGCCAGAGACAGTTGAAATTTAAAAAAAGAAAAAAGAATTTTTTTTTTGTTTTTGAGACAGGGTCTTGCTCTGTGGCCCAGGCTGGAGTGCCGTGGAACGATCTCAGCTCACTGTAACCTCGGCCTCCCAGGCTTAAGCAATTCTTCTGCCTCAGCCTCCCAAGTAGAGAACAAAGAAAATTGTAATCAGGCTGGGCACAGTGGCTCACACCTGTAATCCCAGCACTTTGGGGGGCCAATGTGGGCAGATTGCTTGAGCCCAGGAGTTTGAGACCAGCCTGAGCAACATGGCGAAACCTGGTCTCTACAAAAAATACAAAAATTAGCCAGGTATAGTGGCATGCACCTGTAGTCTCAGCTATCCGGGAGGCTGGCTTGAGGCTGCAGTGAGCAGAGATTGCAGCACTGCACTCCAGCCTGGGCAACAGAGCCAGGTGCTGTCTATGGAAATAAAAAAGGAAAAAAAGGAAATTGTAATCAAACAATTAGCTTTTCAGAAATGATTTAGTTATAAACTCTACATATGAATACAGGACAGAATCTAGACAGAATGTATTCCTCCAACATATCTACTGACATGAACATACAGCCATGTGTACGTCAGGCATGTTTCTCCTAGGGGGAAATTGATGCTTTTGTGTGGCCCCTCCCTTCTTTGTCTCATGGGTCCCAAATTATATCTTACTTTGCACTGAAAATCAGATCCTTCATATTTCATACACCCTGAAGCTAATGTGGTTTCTCCCTGGTCATCTTCTTCTATGATGGCAAAGCAATGTCCATTAGTTCTAAAACAGAAAAAACAAAACAAAACATAAATTCACATAGAAAGTACTAATGAAATTTGAGTCTGAATGTGAACAGGTACAGACAGCCTTTAATACTTTGTTTTGTGATTCAGAATTGCATTCACATGTGATTTACTGGCAAAGCCAAAGCGGTTTTAAGACAAATGAAAGTTATGTCTGAGCTAAGATCTAAAAGGCCAGTGACAACCCTTTGTCAAGCAGAAAAGGATTTCGATTAAACAAGTCCTCCACATGGGAGTTATGTGACTTTTCTTTGCTAATCACAGTCATGTAGTCACAGAAAGCTGATTTATACAATTTTATAAGGTAAGTCATGGTTTGAAAATATACTTTAAAATAACTTTGTCTCTTTTTACCCATTTTTTCAGTACTCCCATATTGTATATGATAATAGATAAAAACAAACTTTTCTCTGAAATATACAGATAGGCTTAAATGACCCAAAAAAGGGGGACTGAAAGGCACCTTTTACTGAATATGATGGGAAAACAGGGAGAGGACTTTTGAATAAATTTTCAATAAATTTACATACATATATTTAATGAAATTCTTATCTTAGTGTTAGCATCCTGGAATTTCCCCTTAATATATTCATATAGACTTCAACAGGTCTGGGATAAATTTCTAAAAACTTTTTCCGCGCTCCTATTTATTGTTAATATCAGGAATTGTGCTGCTTCTACTTAGAAGAATTTTGCAGAATTCTTTGTTTTCTGTCAGGAGAAAATGTTACATGTGGGACAGAATTCTGCTAAAATGGATGACTCAGTTTTACTCTGGGTTACTAAGCTACTAACAGACAGCCCATTATATCAGGCAGGTACTACAGACAAGAAGTTTAGCAAAAGATTATTTGGTGACACAGCGGAGAGCAGTTCCCTGCTGGCAAACTCCCAGGAAGGTGTAAATGGAAAACTAGTCACAGTCAGCCACGCAGAGTCCACCACCACCAGGGGACAAGCAGCACACCTAAGACACGATGACCATCACATAGGTTCAAGAGTTTACGTGTAAAGTTTCATGCTTTCTATCTGGTCAAGGAGCATACAATTATTAAAAGTACAAAACATGACATTCATTACTGCCTCTATAATAAGGAGACAACTAATTCAGGTTGAGTTGTTCAGGCAATTTTTTTTTTGGTCTTACTAAGTCAGTATGTCAGTGTTTCCAACAAATATGGACTAGAATTACATAATCATATATAAACATGTTGCGTAGTTAACATGAAATACAGTAGAAAAATTATAAATCAGATTTGGATTGGTAAATTCACAGGTAAGAAAAAAGTTTAAAATTAATTAACACAATATGATTAATATATATCTGCAGAATATTTCAACCAATTAAAAAGTAGGAGGCCAGGTGTGGCAGTTCACACTAGTAATCCCAGCACTTTGGGAAGCTGAGGTGGAAGGATTGCTTGAGCCCAGGAGTTTGAGACCAGCCTGGGCAAAATAGCAAGACCCTGTCTATAGAAGAAGTAGGAGGTTGTCGGTGAGTTTTTTGATTTTTTTTTTTTTGGTAATCTCTAAGTTTTCTAAAATGACTTCAAGATTAAAAGATCATTAAAAAACTCAGATGTTAAAAAAAATACTAGATCCCTTTGAAATTATTTTAAAAGCTGCATTATAACATAATTCTAATATAGTAACTCACCTATCAATCATTTAATGGAGTAATGTTCTAATACACAAAACACAAGGCTTTTTGGCTTTCTGGAAAGATACTATATATGAAGGAAAAAAAAAAACCTTAGACAAGCTTAATAATTCTTAAAATAGCACTAAATGCAACTCTATTCTCCTAACTCTTAAGAAGGGCTGCATAAAATACTTACATGCATGTGTTATTAATAGCATCATCCGGGCAGTGCCCTGAGCAATAGCACTTTAAAAAAGGCAAGGTATCCTCTGGTGCTAAGGTTACTCCATTTTCTGACTTTTTCTGGTCGGAGTCTGATTTCATCCCAGTGCCATGGAGCATACTGTCTAGATTCTGTCCTGCATTCAAATATGGAATTTGTAAGTAAATCATTTCTGAAAAGCTCATTGTTTGATTACAATTTTCAATGAGAAAAAGTTGCTAAGCTTTCTTATCACAATAATTGTAGCTAACATGTTTCTTTAGAAATATAAATTTCATTCATACAACAGACAGACATTTCTTAATAAGTTACCATGCACAGAATTACTGCACTAGGTATTGTGGGGTATATGAAGACAGCAATAGCACAATTTTTGCACTAGTGAAAGACAAACAAGAGTGGTGCAAGGCAGAATACAGTCAAATCTTGTTTTTTATATTTTTAAAATAACTTTAAAAATTTTTAATTTAACCAGGGGAAAGCATGAACGCAGTCCCTCACTATCACAATTATGCAGTTGAGTTTCCCATGTTTGGGGAAATCACAGGGGTCAGCACATCCGGAGTGCAATGAATAAGCCTCGCCCTGGGAAAACCACCTTCGTGACCCTGGTCTCTCCCTTGTCAGGTTAAAGTATACAGTCATCACTTGTAAGAAAGGTACAAAATGGGGAGATACTTCAGAGAAGTCTGTGAGAGTTTCCAACCATTAAATAGAGACAAGTTATGATTCTTCTTTTAACTCTTTGGTTCAAAACTTGTGACTAGCTTTCCTTTATTTGCGCCTCTATGTGGAAAAGGAGTTACTAAGCATTTTGCTTTGGCCTTTAATTGCTTAAGTAAGGAAATCATGAGAGCACAGAGACCAATCATGTTATCTGGAGACTTTTACCTCAAGGTCATTGGTTTGAATGCAGACCAGGGTGGCAGAAAGTGAAGGTTATAGAAGGGCAGCAGTTAGCTCACAGAAATGGAACTATGTTCTTACACGAGAGCCTAGTAGCCTGCAGTGACAGATACTGTCATATCTGGTACTAAATCTTTCAGGTTTGAAGCAGAACAGTACTAAAAAGACTGTTCTAGTAATTACTTCCTCTCTCTGACTCAGCTAGGCCATTCTTTGTGGGTTACTCTCAAGGGAATAAAAGGTAGAACCAAACAGACAAGTGTATATGTATTTCATTATAAATGTTAAATAAGTAGTTCAAGACACAACACAGACTTGACATTACATTTAACATACTGATACGATAAACTACTGAAAAGACAAAAAATATCACATATGCACACACTGATAACAGAAAAAGCACTGCTAAATAGTATTTTGGTGATTCCATGCCTTCAGTTTTAATAATCTTCACTTTTTTTTTTTTTTTGGAGACATGGTCTCACTCTATTGCCCAGGCTGGAGTACAGTGATGTGATCACAGCTCACTGCAGCCTCAACCTCCCAGGCTCAAGTGATCCTCCCACCTCAGCCTCTAGAGTAGCTGGGACCAAGGGCACACGCCACCAGGTCTGGCTAATTTTTAAATTCTTTATAGGGACAAGGTCTCCCTATATTGCTCAGGTTGGTCTTGAACTCCTGGGCTCAAGTGATCCTCCCGCCTCAACCTTCCAAAGTGCTGGGAACACAGGCGCGAGCTACCATACCTGGCCAATAACCTTCACTTTCTTATGCTGAATATTTAGTAAAGGAATTTGCTACTGAATGACTATATATTAACAAACAACAGGAGAGAAAACTTTTTTTTTTTTTTTTTTTTTTGAGATAGAGTCTCCTCTGTCACCCAGGCTGGAGTGCAGTGGCGCAATCTTGGCTCACTGCAACCTCCGCCTCCCAGGTTCAAGTGATTCTCCTGCCTCAGCCTCCCAAGTAGCTGGGATTACAGGCACCCCCCACCATGCCTGGCTAATTTTTTTGTATTTTGTTGGTAGAGATGGGGTTTCACCATGTTGGCCAGGCTGGTCTCAAACTCCTGACCTCAAGTGATCCACCTGCCTCGGCCTCCCAAAGTGCTGGGATTATAGGCGTGAGCCACTGTGTCCGGCCAGGAGAGAAAACACTTAAAAAATAAAAGATGAAGTTTGCGTACATACATATATTACTCATCCCTGTGCCTCCTCCCCCTCCCCACACTCTCCTTTCAGAAATAAATTCCGTAATATAATGTCAAGGCTTCCATTGCACCTGATAGCTACAAAGCAGAAAGATCTCATTTATGTTAGAAACATCAACTGTAAAAGATGGGGTGGGGGGAAGCAGGAGGTACAGGAAGGGAAGAAATCCACTGAGCAGAGAATGAGGAGACTGGGATTCTGTTTTACTGTGGGCCTACCCCGCTTTACCTAGCTTGATGGTCTTGGGCAAGCCATGCCACTTGTCCAGGCTTCATTTGCTCTATAAGGCTATAGGAGTAGAGGACAGGTGAGGTCACCTAACCAGCTTTAAAATCCTATTACGTTAACAGAAGACACTTATCAATTCAGCTCTGGAGAACAAACAATATAATATATCACAGCAATTAATTTTTCAAAAATCTAGTGACACAGAAAAAGCAGTTTAGTGTGGCAGAAATGTCACTTAACAGCAAGAAGTGAAGGGTTCAAGTCCCAGTTATGGGCACAGATAAGTTACTCTCTGAACCTCAGCTCTCTATCTATAGAAAACGGTGATAATAATTCCTGCCTAATTCAAATCAAGAGGTTATAGGTAGATCAAACGAATATCTACTAAAGTGCTTAACTACATGTAAAACAGTATACAAATAAGATGTTACTAATAACAAAGATCGTAACACTAAAAGATCACTGATACATGAAAAACTCAAAGTTATATGAAACTTCCTAGAATACAATTTGAATTTACGAGACAAAAAACTCAATTACAATAGTTGTATCTGGAGCTTATATTATTGCCAAATATTCAACAGAATACTTATTAGGGGTCTATTATGTACAGGCAAGGTATTAAATGCTAGAAATGCAAAGATGTGGCATCAAAACCATGTATGTGGCCTTGAGAAACTTGGTGGGAAGCAAAGGGGGGATAAGCACAAAAGCAAATAAATACAAAATGAAAAGTGACAAAATGCAAAGCCAGGTACGGTGGCTCACCAGCCTGGTCAACATAATGAAACCCTTTCTCTACTAAAAATATTAAAAAATTAGCTGGGCATGGTGGCGGGCGCCTGTAATCCCACTATTCGGGTGGCTGCGGCAGGAGAATCACTTGAACCTGGGAGCCACCATGGAGGTTGCAGTGAGCAGAGATCAAGCCACTGCACTTCAGCCTGGGTGACAAGAGCAAAACTCCATCTCAAAAAAAAAAGTGACAAAATATGGAGGTGTTATGTAAACAAAGGAAAAGGCTCATCCTAGGTGTCAAATTCAAACCGATCTTAGGTGTCAAAAGTAACAAAATCTAAGCTACATCTTAAAAACTTGCAAGATTTCACCAAGTGAATATTGAATATAAAGAAAAGTAGCAGGCCCAGAGCCTCTCTGCACTGTCCCTAGATGATAGCATCCATTCTGTTGATGGTTCCTGGATGTACCCCTCTAGCCATGACTTGCTTAGGCATCTCCTGACTGACTTGTCCTAAATGAACTTCTGATTTGCCTCAGACCTGGTCTTACCAAAGTCTTTTGGCTCAACCTCCAAAATGTACATCAATTGTTTTCATTTTTCTCCACCTCCGCTGCTGTCACCAAGGCCCATCACATCATGCCTCTACCAAGGTAAGAAGTCTCCAACTCGTCTCTCTGCTTCTGCTCTTGGTCCCTGCTATCCATTTCCCATAGACATTTTATAAACACAAATCTGTCACTCCTATTTAAAACCAACCAATGGCTCCACAACACACTCAGAATAAAATCCAACCTCCACTGTGTGCTCCCAGGACCCAGCAGGATCTGGATCCTGCAGGCCTCACCATCATCACTTCACTTGCCACATGGCCTTCTGTCAGTTCTGAACATGTCAATCTCTCCCCATCCATAAGTCCCATATATTTACAAAGAATAAATTACGAGTCCTGGGGTGGACTGGGGGTATGTATAGGTTATACTTCAAAACACACACAAAATATTTAATAGCTTATATGCTTAAGTATAACATCTCAGAAAAAGATGAAAACATATACATACAAAGATACAGTTACAAGAGACACATGACTATACACAGGCACATTTACAGGTCCTTGTCATAAATGGCAATTTCTGGCATCAATGATTTTACTAGATTTTTATTCCTGGCTAAGTACTTTTTCATACTTTCCCAATAATTTATTGGCTTCCTTTTTCTACAGCAAATAAATGCCCTCTGCCCCAAGCTTAAGATAGAATGTCTACAACAGAACTCAGATGGCAAACGGTTGGTGAGACCAATGGACTACTGATGCGCTATACATGTGAGCTAATCAGCAATGGTAGCTGAATGAATTCTGTAACAATAGTCTGCATCATTAATTAAATAGAAACCAGGAAGACATCAGCAGGAGGAAAGTCAAGTACAAGGAGGCAAGAACTAGGGAAAAGGTGGCATATCTACAACTGTGTTGTCCCGTATGGTAGCCCCTAGCCACACGTGACTTAAAATGTAGGTGAATTAAAATGAAGTAAAATTAAAAGTCAGTTTCTCACCCACACTAGCCACAACTCAAGTGCTCAAAAGCCACATTTGGCTAGTAGCTATCACACAAGACAGCAAAGATACAGAAAACAGGTATTGGTTTTGTGGGCCCCAAGGTCTCTGTCACAATATTCAATTCTGCTGATACAATGCAAAATCAGCCGTACAACATGTACAAAAATGAGCATGGGTGTGTTCCAATAAAATTACTTATGAATAATAAAATTTGAGTTTCATATAATTTTCATGTGTCATGAAATATTCTCTTGATTTTTCTTCAATCACTTAAAAATGCAAAAACATCATTCTTCACTCATGAGCAGCACAAAATGAAGCAATGCGCTGGATTTAGTTTGTGGGCTATAGTTTGCAAATTACTGATACAGAAATTTCCCTCACCAAAGTTAGTTCTATCGTACTATGTTGGTCTAGGGGGAAAATTAAAGCAAGAAGAAAAGACTTTGTGGCAGGGCCAGAAAGCATAGAAATGGGCTTTTCACATCT